GGAGAGCTCTAAGGACCTCGCTTAGGACTGCCGTTTATAGGATTGTGAGATGATTGACTTTAATCACCAGTAAATTTCCATCCGAGCCACAATTTGGGTCGGCTTGTTGTTGGAATTCCAGCAGCGATGATACCACTCTGTTTCAAGGCTGTCAGGGGTAGCTGTTTGTTCTCGTTCCCCTCGTTAGCCATAATATGAATCTTGATAAGAACAGAGCCGCGCTCTGCTCCAGCCATGTAGGAGTTTCTGGTACAATTAAGGGGTGCTTAACTGACCAACTTGCTACACAAAAGCAGCGGCCTGGAATTCCTGAGATTGTAAAGCGGCTGAAGTGAAGGGGAAAAACAGAACAGAAAAACAGAGGCAGCGGGGGGAGATGTACCACCACAAGTGGGAAGTAGCATGAGTTCTCCTTAGCGTATGGTACAGTGAGTTAATGTGCCTGTATTGAAGAAGAGGGAGCAGTTTAGTTCGATCCTCTGTAAGCTTTTTAATTTGATGTCTGTCCTCAGACAAACAATGTAAAAGTCAACACCAGGTGCAGATTAATAGCTAGTAATGACTTGAAGTTCTGGGGGAAGTTTGCCTCATTGTTACCAAAGACTCTGCAAAAAAGCCCTTAGCCATGCACAGTGCTACCAGAGGTGCACCTGCAGGTGAAGAACTGAGAGGAGCCAGTGTGGCTGTTGGGACAGATATGTCACTTGAAAGGGATGCCACTTTGGCAGAAGGATTGTGTTTCCTGCCAGGCACATCCTGAATTTGGGTGACCAGCCCTGGATGATGTTGCTGGGGACAGATCTGTCCTGGCAGAGGTTGACAGATTGGGGCTGTTTCTGTTCTGAAGGGGCTGAATGAGGAAGATGGCAGTGAATCCCGTTCCCAGTGGTCCCAGTGCCACTGTCTGACCCTGTGTCCCCTCTCCCACAGGTGGACCGCTTCCTGCACTCCTACTCGCTGGTGGCTCAGGACCTGCCAGCAGAGCAGCTCCAGCACCTGCAGGAGCTCTTCTCCAGCGCTGTGGAGGAGCACACTCAGCTCTTGGCCCAGGTGCAGGGAGCGACGCTGGTGCCTCCGGAGCTGGAGTCCAGGCTGGGAAGCCTCATTGGTCGCTTCCAGCTCTACCTGCGGGAGGCACGGGCTGTGTGCACCCGGTCCTGGGCCCGCTTCCATCCCCTGCGTATGGTGGGGGGCTGCACCCTCATCGCTGCTTCCTGCTTGCTCTGCTACGTGGCCTCAGAGCTGGCCGCAGCATCGGACTCTTTCTATCGCAGCTGCCTCCTGTACCCACTGCTTTGGGGCTTGGTGGTGGCTGTTCTGCTTGGGCTGGCCCGTGCATTCACCCAGGAGGGGCTGGATCTCCTCCTGGTGCTGTCATGGGCAGCTGCAGCTTCTCAACTGGGTTTTTTCTGGCACTGGTGGGGCGGGCATCCCAAGCGAGCTCGTTTGGCAGGCAATCAGCCACCCTTGGCCAGCGTTGGCCTGAGGCAGAGGCTGCGAGCGTGGCTGGGGCTGGCCTTCCCCATGGGTATTCTCCTCTTCCGCTGCGGAGCTATGTTCTCCGATAGTTTTGTGGTGGCCGAGGCCCGGGAAAAAAGCTGGCCTCGCTGGTGATGTTGCTAGTAGGGAAGCTCCACTGGGACGGTCGCCTGACTGTGCCAGAAGGCCCCAGGCAGCAGCTCCTTGGCTTTTCTTCTTACCGGAGGGAGATCTGGTACCTGCTGTGCCTCGTGGCCATGCTCCTGGTCTGTGTGCGCGTCTCCAGTTTCTTCCACCAGTGCCGTGAAGAAATCCCTCAGTGCCGGCCCTCTCTTTTCCTCTCCCCACTTGCCAGCCTGAGAAACACACGGGCCAAGAACCTCTTCTACCTCCTGTGCGTGGCCTTGCTGGCTGGGCTGGTCTATGCAGTGCGGAGCTGGCTGCGACACTACGGCAACCTGAACAGCTCGGACCCCCTCGTGCTCTTTGTGCGCTGGGGTTTCCCACTGGTGGTCCTCTGCATTGCCTGCTACTGGGCCGTCGCCTCCAGCGCTGATGACTCTCTCGGCAAGCTGCAGGAGCTGGTGGAGGTGGCAGTTGTTGCCTTTCCTTGGGCTGTCTATGGACTAGCGTTCGTGGGGCTGCTGCTCCTGCTGTGCAATCCCATGACAGTGTTCGCAAAGGACACACGGGAGCCGGCAGGATCCATTGTCACTCCCTACCTGGGGGCTCCCAGTTCTGAAGTCAACTTCCTCCACGTCATCCCTCAGATCTACAAGAGGATGCAGGAATCTCAGAAGAGCCGCCTGGAGCAGGGCAGCTGCAAGGCCACTGTTGCAGCGTACGGGCTGGGCAGCGTGTATTCGGCAGCCCTGGTCATAGCACTCACCCTGCTGGGCTTCCTCTTGATGCTTCTGCACAGTGAACGGCTGAGCCTTGCCTTCCTTCTCCTCTTCCTGGAGGCCTTCATGCTGCTGCACATCCACACACGTGCCAGAGGCCTTGCTGGAGATGCTGGTGAGTCAGGGCTTAGTAGAGCATCCTCTGGATGTGTGACCTGGGCCTTATCTGCAGCGACCTTGTCTTATTTCCAGTGGGAGAAGCAGAGCCTGGTCTCTGCTCTTGGGAATGGTGGTGCACTGATCCTCCAAGGATCCTCCTAGCTTTTTTAATGCTGCTCACATCCTCTAACAGAAGAGAGATGCATGCAGCAGGGATGCAACATGAGAGGAGGAGGAGTCTCTTGTGTCAGGGAAGGGGGCTCTACACCCATCCCTTCTCCCCAGGGTGCCAGCAGCCACTGAACCCCACTGCTGCTGACAGCCCCGTAGCAGGGTGGGCAGCAGAGGGAATATGCCTGGCCCCTTGCCCTGTCCTCTGGTGGGAGCCTGACTGGTTTCTGTCTGTCAGAAGAGAGAGCGTGGAAAGGGAACCTGGAAGAAAACCCAACAGGCTTTTTTTGACTGTGGATCTGTCTTGTTCTGTGATGCTGATCTTTCTCCCTCTCTCTCTCTATGTCAAAATCTCTCAGAGCCTTTTTCAGTGCCCTGGTACGCAGTCATCTCCTGGCTCCTTGCTGCTTCCCAGTTCTTCTATTCCACAGGCCACCAGCCCATCTTCCCGGCCATCCACTGGAATGCAGCCTTTGTGGGCTTCCACCTTGACCACAGCACGAACCTCCTGCCTGCTGTCCTGGTGGGCGCCAACACCTTTGCCTCCCATATCCTCTTTGCAGGTAAATCAATTTCTTCTGGGCTGTTGTGCCTGAGTAGACATGGCTTACTGCTTTGCCTCGTCTGGAGGCCTGCATGCTAATCACGAGGTGATGAAGGCTCTGGCACCAGCTGAACAGCATCATCCTCGCTGTTCTGGGGCCACAGAGCTGCCTGTGGCCTGCAGCCTCCATGCAGTTGTGCCTGACCAGCAAACTGGAGCTGGGGTATACACATCCTGCATGTCCAGGGCTTCATGGCAGAGCCTAGACTGCTCCTCACCTCCTGGGCTCCAGTAACTTCATGTGCCTTTGTCCTTGAGGTAGTCGGCTGCCCTCTGCTCCTGCTTTGGCCCTTTGTGTGTGAGATGCCCAGCTCACAGAAGAGGAAGCCCAAGAAGGAGCCCCGGGAGGAGCTGCCTGAGGTGGAGGAGCACATGATGGAGATGAGGCTGCGGGAGTCCCCAGAGAAGTTCTCCGCTGCTCTGCTGCAGCTGGGGCTGAAGTACCTCTTTGTTCTTGGGACACAGGTACGGACAGAGGCGGGAGGGCTGTGGGGAAGCCTGTCCAAAAGGAAGTTGGTGTGCTGTGAGAACCGTGGAGCACTCTGATGAGAGAAAGGAGTCAGCCAGGGCACAGACAGGCCCAGGGGTGATATGTCTGGTTGCAGGTGGAAGAGCAGCTGCACAGGTCCTCTTCTCAGCCATGCCGTTTGCTCTGTGCTTTGGGAAGGGCTCCAGCACAGAAGCTGCAGTATGGATTAGGCTGCTTTTCATACCCGTCTGCCCAGAGTGGCAACGTCTGTTCAGAAACTACAGGGTTGTAATCCTGCTTGCCCTCTTCCTGACCATGCCTACCTGTTCTGCACCAGCTCTGGTTTTCATCTGATCCTGTGCTGTGGTGATACAGGGAGCGAAATACCAGAAATTTAGTCCCATGATAGAAGCAGATAGCTTTCTGGGGTTTAGCCCTTCAAATCATTCTCCTGTGTGGTCAGACCAGAGACAGTGCAAGGGAGGGGGCAGGCCCTGCAGCAGGAGAGCAGGAGTGCCCCTCTCAGTGAAGTATTAGATCTGGTTAGCCATAGTTTGAGCCCTCCTCTGTGCTGTCCCAGCCTGGCCCCAGGAGGGCCTGCATGTACCTCGAGCTGCTTGTGTTTCCTATCTTGAGGATACAATGGAAGGGAGTCCTTTTTGGGATGCTTATTGCTGGTGTGCGCTGTACCAGCCTCTCAGGTGTGTGCAGTTCAGTACCACCTTCAGATGTGAACCGAATGCCCAGGAGGTCTCTCCAGAGTCGCTTGTAACTTGTTTTTCCTGATCTCCTCCACAGCTTCTGGCCTGTGTTTGTGCAGCTATGATCCTCAGGAGGCACCTCATGGTCTGGAAGGTCTTTGCCCCAAAGTAAGTCTCAGGAGTTGCTCTGATGCTGGTGTAGGGCTCATATCCCTGACGTCTTGACTAGAGTTTGTAGACAGTAATGTTGGAAGAGATCCTGTGATTGATCTTCTGACTTCTGACCTAGCAGAGGCTGTAGGACTGTCCTTAACTAATTCTTCCTTAAGTTCAGAAGCTGGACTTGAGATAGAGCCTAGAAATTTCTCCTTATCTTGATTTCCAAGAACATACAGAGCCCACCTGGAAGCTAAGAATATTCAGGGCAGAGAGTCAAAGGCAGGGATACCAGACCAGAAATGGTAAATCCAGAAATGGTAAACTATCAAACCTTTGGGTTAGTAGGAGTGTGGGGTGGCCTTGGCCTCTGAGGGATTTAAAATCCCACCTGGGTGTTGTCCTGAACAGCCTCTAAACGACAGGCATGCTCGGCTTCCGGGTTGCAGGTGGCAACTGCTGAGGAGTGAATGTGATTCAGGTTTTAGGATCTGGGGTGCTACCAGCCTCTCACTGTCAGGAAAATCAGTCTCCTGGGAGAGAGGGCAGCAGCCTGTCTTTGCAGGCATGCTGGCTGTGATATCCTTACTGTGTCTGTTGTGCCTGCAGGTTCCTCTTTGAGTCGCTGGGCTTTGTGGTGAGCAGCATCTGCCTTCTGCTAGGGATCTCCCTGGTGATGCGCGTGGACTGTGCCGTCAGCACCTGGTTCGGCCAGCTTCAGCTCAGGTAGCGTCGGAGATGTGGGGAACCCAACCTGCTCGTCGGCCGAGGCTGTGGTTGTCTCCCTGGCCCCCCGGTGCTGGGAGGGTTACACGAGCCGCCAGCAGCGAGTGCCTGCCGACAGCAGTCAGGGATTATCCCCAGCTCCCTGCCTCAGTGCTGCACAAAAGGACCGGAGCCAACTGTTCCCCACTCATTGCGACTGTGTTTCTCAGCAGCGGAGGTCCGAGCTCTCGCTGGGCGTCTGTTGGCAGCGGGAGGAGTCTGCTGCAGGAGCCCAAGAAGCAAAAGTCCTGAAGTGCCCCTCCCGAAACACCGGCCGGGGGTCTTGCTGCTACTTTCCTGACAACTGTCCCCACTGTGCAGCTGGTTGGCCTCCGTGGCTGGCAAGGTGTCACCTTGCCTGTGCAGAGACAGTGACTCACGGGAAGGGACCTGTTGAGGAGGGGAGGGTGGGGAGAGAGGCGAGGGAAGGTCCTGCAGTCACCACTTCTCTTTGTGTGCTCAGTTTTCACGCTGGAATCAAAGTGCATATGGTTATGCATAAGGTGGTTTCTGGGGTCTCGGTGGCAGCTGCTCCTCTATCAAGTCAGTTGGTTGCTCTGCAGTGGGGCCCCTCTTGCCCTACGCTTCCATTTTCCTGGTCTTTCTCAGGCCTGCGAAGGGCAGCGGGGAGCACTCTGGGCTGCCTTGTACAGCCTGAAGCAGGCTTAGCTTGTTGGGGGGGTGGGCACAGGGAGAGTTGTGTCCATGATCAAGAAACTCTGCACTCAGGGTCTCATCCTGTCGGTGTCCCCTTGGGCTGGGCTGTAGGAGCTGAGGCTCCTGATCTCTTCTGAGCTTGTGCTGCCAGATGCTGGCTGTTGATTGTGAACGGTTGAGGTGCAGCAGGATGAGGTGCAGCAGGATGTCGTGACAGAGCATTGGCTCATCCCTGTATTGGATCTGGTCAGGAGGAAAGGGGAGCCTGGAGTAGCTGTCCCAACTGCAGGAGTGGCCTTGGTGTGAGCTCTGGTGCCTGGGAAGAGCTGCCTGAAACCCTTCTCAGGCAACAAACTCTTCTGGGAGGTGGCTTAACTCACTGGTGCCTGTGTTTGTGCTGGGGGTTATGTCACCTTGAAGGGTTCCCAGGCACTGCAGCTGATGGCATCTGTGATCCCACGTTTGGTGCTTACCTCCCTCTTGACCTTGGTGTTCTGTGTGGGACTTCATGCTGCAAGTGAGCTACCCCAAACCTGCCCTTGACTGCTCGCAGTCGGGAGATATTGTATTTTGTTCTTTGTGGGCAGAGGTGGAGGACAGTGACCATGGTGCCTGGCCACATCTCAGCTACATTCCACCTGCAGTTTTGATGGGAGCTGGGATTCCTTACTGCCCTGAACTACTGTGTGGCATTACTTGGTGCTATGAAACCTTTTGTTTCTTTCCCCTCTGCAAAGAGCTGAGGACTGCTTGCCTGAGATTCCTGTGTTGATTTTTGTTCTGATCCCATTTGGTTTTTAAGTCATGCACCATGATTGCCCCTGTTTGAGTTCCTCACTGCAGACTGCTAGCATAACTCCAGGCTCTTCCTCTCTTCGGCCCTGGAGAGTCCCGGGGAAAGGGGAGTCTGAGGGGAGACCTTGCTGCTCTCTACAACTACCTGAAAGGAGGTTGTAGCGAGGTGGGTGTTGGTCTCTTCTCCCAAGTAGAGAACAATAGGACGAGAGGAAATGGGCTCAAGCTGCGCCAAGGGAGGTTTAGATTGGATATTAGGAAAAATTTCTTTACGGAAAGGGTAGTCAAGCATTGGAACAGGCTGCCCAGAGAGGTGGTGGAGTCACCGTCCCCAGAAGAGTTCAAAAAACAGGTAGACGTGGCACTTGGGGACATGGTTTATTGGGCATGGTGGTGTTGGGTTGATGGTTGGAATGATGATCTTAGAGGTCCTTTCCAATCTTAATGATTCCTAGTTTTTACTTTCATTATAAATAATCCAGCCACCAAGCCAGGAGGTGTGGGGTTGCTACTCGACCCTTAATTGTTTTAGTGGTGGAGTTGGTAATGTTAGGTTAATGGTTGGACTGGATGATCTTAAAGGTCTTTTCCAACCTAAACTATTCTATGATTCTGTGAAAGTGTCTCGTCACCTCTCTCATCATTTCAGTTTCTGCTGTTATGCCCAAGTGCCCATTTGCTGTGGAAAATGGCTCCCGAGGGCAGGTTTAGTTTTGTATTTTACCCCTGCAAAATGCTTGCTCAGGTGTTAGGGTGCAATTCCAGGGAGGCTTAAACTGCTCTAATTTTGGGTTTCCATTGTCTGGCCTCCTCCTGACCTGCTGGCTGTGCTCTCCCACCTCAGCCTCACATCTCCCCTGCCCTGTGGGTCTGTCCTGCTTAATTTCACCCGACGCAACCAGGGACTGGTTTGTAGCTGGCGTGAGTCCCTGGGCTGCCTCACTGCCTGGATGCACACACACCAGTGCTAGTGCAAGGCAAGGGCAAGGCATGCAGTGGGGAAGCCGGAGGGGGCAGGAACGCATCAGCCCCCAGTTAGATGGGCTTAAGCCAGTCCCACCCTTAAAAATAGGTTATTTGCTGTATACTGTGACTCCTTGGTGGCCATATGGTTCTCAGTGCTGAGGGGGCCATGCTGATGGATGAGGGGTGCATCAGTGTGGAGAGGAGGAGAGGGATGGAAGTAGCAGCTACCCAGTGAATTTTCATTTAATGCAAGGTTAGTCTAGATAACATGTTGCTAAACCCCAAGGCTGGAGCCCAAATAGGTCTTGTAACCTCATAACCTGGTCAGGAGCTTGCTGCCGGAATAGATTTGTGCTGGCAGAAATCCTTACGGTCACTAATGCTGTATAACTGGCCCCTGACATCCCCACAGCTGCCACCCAGGCCCCCAGGCTTCCTTCTCTCCCATCTCTGGGACTAGTTCCTCTTAAACAGTCACCATAATGCTGCTGAGCCTTCCTGTGCCCGTTGTTCATGGTCAGATACCACCCCTCTGCCTTCCTGCTGGGGCTGTAGCCTCATGGTCCCGGGAGGCCGGGGCAGAGCAGAGGGGACAGCAGAGCTGCGGCGCCATGGGAATACGCACGCTTATCTCGCCGGAGACAAAACAACACCTGCGGTAACAAAGCTGCAAGTACATTCTTGTCACTGCGGAGGTGCCAAGGAGTGCTAGCCGCTTGGCCGTAACAGACTGGCTACTACACCAAAGAATTCAGATTGAAGATGACGAGTTTTCCGAGGGCTGGGGATGCTTTTGCTTTCTTTCATTGACTTTCTTTAGTCTTTGCCAGCCGTCCTCAGCTGCCCTCAAGCTGATTGTTTTGACTACCGTTCTCCTGAGTGTGCCGGGGATGTCAGAGTCAATGCTGGTCCAAGGCTTGGAAGGCTTGGACTGTGGAAGCGGGACATGCTGCTGATGCTAGAGCAGACGTGGCTGTGTTTGCTGATTTAAAACCCCAAGTGGTGTCCGGAGGAAGGTGCCCTCTGGTCCAAACCAAGGCTCTTTGGGAAACCTGGCCGGCTCTGCCTGGCGTCCCCCTGCTGAGGTTGTCACTGGAGGCTGCTGGGGCTCTCCTGGAACAGTTACTCCCAGCAGTTCAGTTCCTGGTCCCTGTGTCTCTTGGCTGAGTGCGACAGGGGACGCTCAGTGTGCTCGGCAGAGCGGTTTCCATCCTGCACTCTGCAAAGCTGCTGTGCTTTGGGCTTTTGCAAGCATTGCATCTGTGCTCCTTGGCAGGGCTCCTGCCCAGCGCCCTGTCTCTCCGGGCAGCGGAGAGGAACAGTTACTCCCAGCAGTTCAGTTCCTGGTCCCTGTGTCTCTTGGCTGAGTGCGACAGGGGACGCTCAGTGTGCTCGGCAGAGCGGTTTCCATCCTGCACTCTGCAAAGCTGCTGTGCTTTGGGCTTTTGCAAGCATTGCATCTGTGCTCCTTGGCAGGGCTCCTGCCCAGCGCCCTGTCTCTCCGGGCAGCGGAGAGCTCTGCTGGGAAACTTCCCTGGCTCAGGCCAGCAGCGGGATGCTGCGTCCCATGGTCCTGGCATGAGGCGGGGGTGGAATTGTGTCTCATTTGTGCCACCTCGAAAATGGTGACCAAAAGCTGCCACCGCTGGCAAAAGGTTGTGGCTGTTGGGAGCATCTCCCTGCCCTGATCCCTGGGGCTGGTGCTGCCCACAGGGCTGTCCCAAAGGATGGCACTGCTGCGGGGAGGCCAGGGCTCGGTGTATCTCAGTTCTGATGCCCTTTTCTCCATCCCACCTCTGTCTGTTCTTCCCTCAATGCTTCAGGCCACTTGTTTTGTCAGGTACTCGGTGTGCCTGTCTCCCTTCCCCTCTGGAAGCAGCAGTGCTGGCGTGCGGGGAGCAGGGCTGGGGAGCTCTGGCTCGACTCGCCATGTGGCTTGGAGCGAGATTGTTGTTTTACGTTTTGTTATTAACCTCTCTGTGCCTCAGTACCCCATTTTGGGGGGAAAAAAGAAAAAGGGGATGGACCCAGTTCTGGAAAGCAATTTGGGAGCTCTGCATGCAGTGTGGTGCTACGCTTTCCTGGGTATCTCTATGTATCTGGCTGTTAACGCTTTTGTTCCCATTCAGCAGCTACGCTGGGAAGGTGGAAGGGATGCTCGAGTCTCTGCTAGGAAGTAGAGCTTTTTTCCTTCAAAAAAACCACCCCAAAGCAGGCAAATTAGCTTTAGCTCTGGACCACTGCGGTCCTCGGGACCGCTTCCCGCTGTGCCTCCGCTTGCAGCGCCGGGCTACCGCCAGCCAACCTCGCCGGGGCTGCGCCATGCCTGGCGGGCACTGGGCAGCCGGGGAGGGGTCGCTCCGTTATTAAATGACTCATTAATTAATGGGGAGGGGGGAGATTGGCTGTCCAAGGGTGGCACGGGGCTCTGGGTGGCTGCAAAAGAGAT